TTCGGAACCGGTAAAATCGACAACTTATAGGAATCAGACACGTTTGTAGAAAGAAAAGCAGCTGCAGTTTCATAGAGACATCGTGCATACGATGGATAGTGATCAAATAATTAGAAGGTAAGAAGTAAATGTAAACATAATTCCTATGACGAGATTTTTCTTACTTATTATTAGACAATAAAATTCAGAAGTTTTAATAATCGGATTTTCGGTTAATCAACGTTTCGATAATCCATCATTACGTTAATATGGATTTCCATAATTGAGGTTTTCCCGTTACGATATTACAATAGTAATGCTACTGTATGCGATAAATTAACGCAAAAAAATTCCTTTATAGATGTAATTGTAAGGTATAATAATTGGTAAGGATGTAATTCAACAATTAAACTTTTAATTGAGAATATAAAGTGTATTATAATATAGTATACTATGAACCGATAGAAAAAGAGTTATCGTCATATAACTATTTTTATTGTATGACTCTTGTTTTATGAAACAAACTACTATTTTGTTCTGGGAATATCATATACAGTGTGTCCCATTTTAATTTACAGGACAATTATCTCGATAGGTACTGAAAATACGAAAAAATATTTCGGACGAAAGTGTTGGATATAGAGAACATATCGTAATAACAATTATTTGACTGTAAAATTACCCTAGAAAACTCTATGAAGACGTTTACATTTTTAAATAAAATTCTACATTTTTTACTACGTATTCTTGGAGCTGATATTGAGACATTTTCAAAACGCTGCTGTGTGTATTTTGCTTAAGCCGTTGTCAAGGTATTAACACTCGCTCAGCCGTCACCGGGTCACCATTGACCCGAAATTTCAACGTAGCAAAGGAATGACGTCTGTAGGCCCTACTCTTATCGTTATAACATAAATAACTAACTGCGTAGAGAGTTCAAACGTCTTCAGCTAGCAATATTCGGTGTAACAGCGAAAAGAAACGATCGGTCAAATATGTTTTCATTTTATAAATTTTCACAATGTTCACAAATATAGTGTGAAATATGCCAAATGTTCAGAATTTATATGTAAAAAGACACGCAATAAAACATAATAACGTTGTATATATCCAGTGCACGTAAATGAAAAATATATTTATAAAATTTGACATTTCTTTAGCAAACAACTCTTCTCTGCATATTATAGATATTATTAGATAATATCCTGCACCAAACAGTTAGGTGCAAATCAAGTATAGTAAAAATTTAGATATGGGTTAAAAATGACCCGGTGTCATTTTTAAAATGACAGAAAAAAGTTTTCTATCCTTTGTAACGTTGTTATATTATTTGTTTTCTCATATGCTTCCACAATTTTTGTTTCATATTTTTCAACGCGAAAGGTTTTCTTCTGTAAATAGCCCTACATAAAAATATCTAGATGTATTAGTCCAGTGAACGAGATGGAAACTCTACAGTTTCGCCCTTACCAAGTCAACCATTTATGTCGGAGAGTTCTAATTTCCTGCTCTATGTTGCTACACGCTTCTAGCAACATCTGTTGTTCTGGTATCAGAATAAAACTAATGGTTGAAGGTACTTCCTTCTAAGCAGCTATAAGGAAAGCGCGTGTAATCATTGTGAAAGAATATCCAAGTACAATAAATATAACCCATCCGGCGTATTTAATAACAATTTAAGTGACGCTAATGCCGGTTTCGCGTCAACCTTAAATGTTATTATCTTGGCAATGGCTTACACAAAATACACTCATGGTCAGTATTTTGAAAACACGGTTCGACGCCGACTACAAGAATATGCAGTAAAATGTATACGATTGGAAATGATAGGATACAAATTTAAACGTGTTCTTCGTGTATCTTTCCAGAGTAATCGTAAGATCAAATAATCATTATGCTATGTCCCACTCTATACTCGACAACCTTCGATTGAAACAGTTTTTCGTATCTTCAGAACCATCCGAGATAATTGCCATGTAAGATTCAAATAGCACAACCTATATATCTAATATGATAATATGATATTTATTAATTACTTCTGCATTTCACTCAGCATTTAATTTGGAATTATTTAACTATTATATTCTTAAATAAAATTGAACTATATAAAGTGACAATTTTCGCACGTGTGCCGCATATGTTCCTTTATCCTGCTTTTCCTTAAGTATACTCCATTTTTTGCTTAAAATGATTTTGTTTCTTCCTGTCAATTCGGTAATCATTTATCTGCCATAATTGGCCATTTTTTAATTATCTTTGCTTCCCAAAAGAAAATTCTATTAAAATCGTAAACTATGCGATAGAACATTTATTATATTCGTTAGAAATATTTTTTACAGTTTCAAAAATAGGTTTTTCCCGAAACTCGTATTTGTAAGATGGTATAAGAAAAAAACCTTGTTCTTTTCTGTAGCTTTATAGCCAGACAATTATATCTCTCACAAAAATCGAATAACTCGTTTCAACAAAGGTTATATTTAAAACATGTTTCAAAGGAAGTTTATGACCATAACAGCAAACTTTTCCCCCCTTATTTCGATGAACTTATAATAACTCACGATGACAAAATTGTTTTAGATGATTTAATAAAACAATCACACAAATATCCAAACAATTTATAACGACTAATAATTAGACTTTCATTCCTTTATTATAATAATAATGTTAAATTAATATGTTTAATAACTTAAAAATAAAACAAAATTTAAATATTAAATTCAAGCTACGGGGAATCGATATTTGATATATGTATATCAACCTGTAGCTTATAGAGTTCCACATTACTATTTCGTCGAATTAACAATGAACAGTTCTCACGATAATATACGGTGTCTCAAAATTCACGCAAGATTTAAATTTTGCGCCATTTGTGCGGTAAAGGGTTGCCGACGAAAAGAAAGACAAGGTGACAGCTGACAGTTTAGGGTTATTAAAAATGGAGCGCTACGCGAAGGAATAGTACTTCATTGTTAAGCAATATTTACAATTTTTAAATAAAGATCTGTCTTCTATTAAAATTACTTATTACGTGAATTTTGAAACACCATATATAAGGTAGCTCACCACGTATTGCCATCTAGATATACGTCATTACTATTACGCACAGAGAAAAATGTTTCGGATGAAGTCGAATGGCTTTGAGAGAGGCATATTCTGATGGTACTAGTCCATCTACAAAAAACTAGTACCATGAGAATATGCCTCTCTCAAAACCATTCAACTTCATCCGAAACATTTTTTGCTAATAATAATGACGTATATCTAGGTGGCAATAGGTGGTGACCCACCCTGTATACGCGGTATGGTCGAATGAAGAGAGTTTTTGTCGTAGCGAGTAGCAGGTGCATGAATGGAGTAGTAGAGAATAAAATCACTGTCGGCACAATTAATGAGTGTTTAGAAAAGTAAGACTGTGGATCATGAGAATATTTTTATTAAATAATCAGCAATGCGTGAAGAGCGAACGATTCCGTAAAAATGCTTCTAGAGCTTTCGCGTGTTTGGCAATGTGAAGAATGAACGAGTATAAAAGAGTATTCTTAATGATACGAGGAGCAGAATGCGAGTACGAGCGTGTTAAGATAGTTATGCGTGAGCGCTGGCAACAATTATCGTGTATTTTTTAAATTAATAATAAAATATAATAAACCTACATATGTTTGTAACCTTGTTATTGAATTGTACTATGGTGTTATTATAATCCGTAAATGTGTTTTATCTAACTACATTCTAATTGATAAAAAGAAACAAAATTTCGTATATTTTCCGTTATTAACACTTTACTGACCGGTAGCGGGTCGACATCCTATGCCCTTTTCACCGGCCACTCAGCCGCAGATCTTCCCTGACATCGACTCTGTTTCGGATTAAACTGTCGCGCGGGAATATATGCGCTTTTTAATGCTCAAAAAAGTAATTTCCAAAATTTTATAAAAATTTGGGAGCTTACAAAGTAAAGCAACTAGTATCACAATACAAAGTAACAAATGCTTGCTAATTGCCATAGTAACCGATTAATCGACCACCAGTCGGTGAGCGTTGAGGACAAAATGTCGATTAATCGGCTACCGGTCGGTAAAGTGTTAACTATGTCTACTTATCCTGCCTATCTCTATCTACCACTCAAATAACCATTTCTAAATTTTGTATAAAAAATTCAGCATTCGACGTTACCGCTTTCGTTATATGATTATTTTTCTTATTATTCTCATTATTATAAACTTTTCTTATTATGTACATAAAATCAATTTCTCAATATCTATATTTTCCCTTACACCTACCTGTATTTCTTTTAATTGTAAGATTTATTTTGCTTCGTCTATCAAAATCTGCATTATTATTATAAAAGAGCCCGTAAAAGATGGAAGCCCGTGAAACCTATATACGACATTTACATATATCGTATCACAATTAAGAATAATTAAAATTTAATTTAATAATTCATTGCTATTTATTAAAATAGTTACTTATATTTTACTAAAAAGTTGCTTATATAAATTTTATTCTTTATAATTTTGATATTCAAATGTCTTCTAGCGTATACTGCGCTGTATCAGTAGTAATCAGATGACAATTATATAGAGAAAAATTTTAAAAGAAAATTATAAGTTTTTATTATGCGTTCTTCTGGTCAATTGAAGAATTTTAAGGCGTTTTAAAAGTTTCATGAATATATTGGAATATCAAATAGAAGCAATATATCAGGTCAAGAATGCTTTTCTAGCTAAATATACTTTCTAAATTTAACGTATATATAGTTCGTGACTTTAGACATTCGTCAAATTTAACGAATGTCCCATGAAGAATGACTGCAGTTATTCTTCAAATCTTACTGATCACTTTTTCCTTACTGATTTGCTATTATAATCCTATAACCATTGTATTGAATGGTTCAAGGTTGGTAAACAGTATTATTTCATTTTTATTAAAGTATTCAGTCTGTACATGAGAGTACACCATTCTTGAAAATATAATATATATATCGTACAACATTACAGTAGTGAATAAATGTTAACACTTACACGTATTCAATCCTGCTGTGTAAATAACTTCCATCTGGCCATAACAAGTAACACGAAACCCTTGTTTTCCCATCCAAATATCTAGAATTAATCGATAAATTTTTCATTAAATCATACCTTTTAATAATAATTTCTAATTTTATATTATTAAAATATATATCTAATATAATTAAAAAGAAATTATATATTCCAAAAAAAATTTTTCTAAAATTCGAAATAAAATCACTTGTTAGCCAACTCGACATTTATACCTTTGACACGAAAAACCAAATATTAAATTATGTTTAACATAACACACGAGTCGAAACGCCATTAGTATCTACAAATTCTGATATATATTGTGGAGAACATTTTATTTTTGCAACAAACAAATATTTAGCGCAATATTATCAGTATTAAGTCTTTATATAAATACCACCGGTTTGGAAATGCTTATTATACAAAATTTTATCGCGATATGCATCGATAATGTGCCAAACAAGAAGCAAACATTTATGTTAAATACATAAATTCATGCATTAATTATGCATTTCGACAGAAAAATTTTTAAAAATTCAAAAATTACATTTAATCGCTTTAACCTGTAAGTGGTTCATATAAGAGTAGTGTCAATTTAATTTTTAGTTTCTCCTTCATCAAACACCAATTGTAATAAATTGAATGAAAATCGATATGGAACTAAGAGAAGTACCTAAGTGCTTCTGATAAGCCAAAGAAAACCATATTAATTCGTTCTATATCAACGTCCCTTTAATATCGACCAACAATGATTCCGTAACTTTCTCTTATCTCTATTCCCACTACTTAAACAGCCCAAATAAGAAATTGTCGTTCATCAAGTCCAACCGTAAGGGGAAGAGAAGAGAGGGTTGGGGTAAAATGAGTTTATCACTCGGTGGCCGATTGTACTTTATTCCTTTGGATACGATATTCACACGCCGCTGTCATCTCTCGCGTAAAATCATCTTATCGGTAACCAGAGCTCGCATACTTTTACATACTCTTACACAATTGATATTAACACTAGATCTACCAAGGGGGGTCAAAATGACTTGTTTGACACTTCTTATAATTAGTATTCATTTTCAATACATTTTGTTTCCTAAAATTTTATATGACTTTTTCTAAAATATGCAAATAATTAATTCTGTAAAGCAGTTTTCTTTTTTTTTTTATCTATTTGGTGTAAAATTTTATGCAGTATACCTCCATATACCGAGATGAGTCATCTTGACCATCCACGGAACGTAGGTAAACTTGTGATTTTAGAAGTTTCTCATATCATCTTTACATAGTTCAAATACATTTTTGGAAAACCAAGTATATTTTCGTACATGTACGTTGTACAAAATTACTATAAAAGACATATATTATGTAGTATCGCAAGTTTTCATGTACACCGTTACAAAACCAGAGGGATATTTCGATGAAACGTAAACGGTGTCAAATAGCATATTGTATTAATAATAAAACGAAAAATATTTGTGGTACATGTCATAAACGAGTCTGTGGTAGATGCTCTGCTAAAATAATTGTAACTTGCAAAAAATGTCTTTGACTTTTATGTGTAATTATTTTTTAAATTATTGTTATTACATTACTATTGTTATTCAGTATATATTCAATTTTCGTCCAGAAAATAGAAAAATACATAAAAACGTAAAAATTGCTATGTCTTTTCTTAAATGACTTGTGAATTTATGAAACAAGTCATTTTGACCTCCCCGGTAGAAGTAGGTATACGTCAATCGTCGGTTATTCTAGTGTTAATAAAATAAGTACAATGACAAAATGAATAAGAAAATAAACGTGTTACTTTGTGGTTTGTAAAACTGGAAATAAAAAAAAAATATGAAAGATCAGTGCAATTAAAAAAAAAATGAAATTTTTGTTATAATTCATTTTCTGTTATTTATGTTCTATTATTTTGTAATGACTTAATCAAATCATCACAATTCAAATGTATTCTAAATATGGAATCAATTGACATACTTTGAATTGAATAAATTACGCTGTGATAATTATTCAAACTTTAATCGATATGCTCTGAGAGATAGTTATGCAATGTGCAGCGATAACCTTATATATATATATATACACATGGAGGAGGAGGGATATGTCTCCCACAATTATTATTACATTTATAGCGTCATGTATGTATATATATATAACAATTTTGGAGTATACGCGATCAACGTTAAGACTAAATGTAAAGTTGATAATTACATACATGACGCTATAAAGACTAAATGTAAAGTTGATAATTACGATGTAGGAACTCAACTGACCGACTATCAACTTGGAATAAAATCGTCTAGCTAATAGAGTAGTCGATAGGCTAACTGACTAATCAACCGCCAGGCCAACAGCAATGAACCACTAGCTAACTAAATATTGTTGTTAAAAACCAACTGACTATATTGTCGAAAATCGACTAACAAACTAACTGATTAACGAACCGTTTTGTGGTACATCCAAATCCTATCGATTTACTTCCTAAATTAAATTTATTATAAAAATAGTATAGATTAAAAAATATGTTAAAAAATTGGATACTTCGATTATTATATAATTAAATTTTAAAAGATGTAGAAGTAAATAATAAGCGCTGGATTTCTTAAGTGAAGAACCTAGGCAAGTGTGATACCAATAAAATAATGTGATACTTCAAGTTATGATTGAAAGGTTTAATTAGAATTATTTTACTTCACTACGAAAATCATAGAAAATTGCACTTTCAGTCTTATTTATTTATCTATACCAGTGAAAAACCAAATTAGTTGTAATTCTTATGCTATTGTCTCCTAATCGAATTATAGAACATCATCTATTAGCAAAGGCATCAGAGTGTCACTTTTATAAACGATGCTACTTCAACTTTCTGCAGTCTCCTAGTATGGGAAAACTGGATAGATCGTAAACCTACTGTACATCTGTGGTTTCCTGGTTCACTCAGCTTAACACAATTGAATTTCTTTCTTTTTGAATCACGATCAAAGAAATACACGATTAGAGTTAAATACTTGTATTGATGAAACAATTGAAACATAATACAGGAGGAAATGCTAAAATCAAAATCAAAACATTAGAAGAAAATTCGTAGAAATCTAGAAGTCAGATAAAATGTATGTTTATGAAATATGTCATATCGAAGCGGAGATATAAGAATGGTACTTGTCTAATAAGAATCTTGTGAATCCGAAGACGTAACAGAAATGAAGTTAAATAAGTTTATATAATTATAATAAAGTAACGTAATTCAAAATTTGAAATAGTTATGTTAAAGGAATAATTATTAAAATTTTATAAAAATTTGATATTATTTTTCATTATAGTGCAGATTATAAATTTGAAGTGATAGTATATATTGAACTTCGAAATGTCATATATTTCCTCGAATTGTACACTTCACTGTTTTATGAAACATCTATTCATCAAACTATGTCACACAAATCCATAATAATAGACATTTGTAGGCGTGAAAATTTGGTTCTTAAGGCAATAGATGCGAAGTCAACCGACTTCATGATTACGAGTAAGAAGTTGTACTATTAGTAACCTCTCCTAAAGATAACAACCTTCCTTTATTTATTATAAAATTTCGATGTACTTCAGCTACTGTGGAATAATTTTCTGCTGCTTCATCGAGACGATGATATTTACTTTATATCAGATTCAAAAATGTAAACATTTTAAACGAGGTCAGTCTAAGTGCTAATTAAACTTTAAAATCATATTATAAAGGCATGACTGAATTGGAACACATGGTTCCTATAATACTTTATCTACATAATAAGCAGAATACGATGAAACAGAGAAAAGAGAAAAACAAAACTATAAATTGATTTTCAACTTCAATTTATAAATATATGTAGTTATTTACGATTTCTGAATAAAATATTTTGCCAATTTCTATATATTATAACAAAATTTAAATTTTGGTAAATAATGCCACGTGTAATACATTTAGATTTGATTGGTGTACAAGTGTCTTTTGTATTCATTGAATTTGAAACTAACGACCAATGCTTCTTAATATTAGTGCTTTATAAATTCTTTCTTTTTCTTTATTATTTGATCATGTTCAATCTAAATGATATTTAGCATAATCTAAATAACGAAACTAAGCAGCGATTATGCGTGTAAAAATGTAAGCGTGAATGCACCCAGTGGCGCACTATGTTTACTAAATTAAAATTATAAATTTTTAATTTGAATTCAATGTTATAAGTAATTGATTTTACATACTATACAACTATGTTGTTATTGACTAATAATAACATTGAATGCTCTTTTTAGACATCAATTTAATAAACGAAAACGATTATCTCTTAAAAATTTCTTTAAATTCCTGGTTTGTCATAGATTAACTTATCAGTAAATATCTCCGTTAAATATTTAATATATTGCTTATACAAGTAGAAAATATTTGATCAATATAAAATCGTTTCTATAATTTTTCATTGACTAATAAATCGAGAGATAAGCTTATACAATCGTCTAATGTATACAGTTTTCGTGATTTATTTGGAAATGTGTAAATATTCTCAAGAATATAGCTGATACAAAGAAATCTTCCAACCAAAAATTATTTGGTAGAAAGGAGCATACAAATGTTCTCACAAAATGTTTTAATTTCAACTACAAGAAAATATAATACAAAAATACAGATGTTTTAATCAATAGTTTTTCAATTTAAATATAAATTTAGAGATTGTACAATTTTGATAAAATTTTTGATGTCATCACAAAATCAAATAAATAAAGATATAAATGTTCCTTGGTACCAAACAATTTTTATATAATTTTTTTTGTACCATCAATATTTTTCGATACATTTAAACACTTGTATATAAATCACACTCATAGTTTATGAAGATAGTTCTGAATTTCATTTTTCAATTTCGTTAAAAATTGTTTCAATTTATCGACACATAATTTTCGAATAATTTCAAGACCAAGGAACATACCTTATATCAAAGTCGTCTCCAATCTACTAGTAAATTGGACGTCTTCTTGCAGAAACTGATTTTATCAGATTCAAGAAAGAAAATATTACCTAGGAAGGTAGACAATTTTTATTATATTATAGTGTTTGGAATAACGGTGAAGCCAAACGACTATACTTTTACAGGCAGAATTTCTAGAACTTTGTGCAACATTTTACCATTATCTGTTCAAGCTGGGATAGAATGCAAACTTTATTTTCAAGAGCTAAACGAATTTTTTGGAGAAAAGTGAGAGAAAATATAAAATACATATATTGCTATCATACATGATATCCACATGATTATAACAGAAGTTTACCCTCGTAAAATATTTTTTGAAATTTAAGTTATACGGGTAAATAATGTTATTCGTGATACGTTGAAAATTATCGAATATATATTTATTTCTAATTTTTCATATAAATAGGTTTAGAAATAAATCATTAATATAAACGTTGATTTTTGTTTCATTTTTCTCAAATAAAAAAGAGCAGTTAGAAAGTAAATTTTATGAAACACTTCAGTGGTTATAGATACTGACCGACTCCATCACAAGAATCCAAATTTTTGCTGGCAGAAATTGTCTAAATTTATTCTTATACAATTTTTACGATATTTTTAAATTTTTTTAATGAAAAATTCCAAAAGGACTGTAATTCTTCAAAATAACAATTTCAAACGATAATAAAAATAGAATATATCCAATTTCGTAAATGGTTACATATGTCAAAGACAATAAAAACTAAATAGAAATTACAGTTTTAGTTAAAGTTACAGTTATTTAATGTCGAAGATGGCAGAACCTGTTAACTTCCTGATAATCTCGAAAAGTTATATATATATATTGTTGAAATCGCCTTATTATACATAACCATACTACATAGATATAAAAAAATATAATATACAGCTCAAAACAGTTAAATTGATTTTGATCTTCATAAAACGATCTCTCTCCATACTAAACTATTTCTATAAACACATTCTTCTCAATATCACTTCCTGAGAAAATTATTCACTATACACATTTAGTTAAAACAGACACCTTGTATAAGGTACGAAATTTCTAAAAGGATACCTATATTTTATATTGCGTATTCTTAGTAAGAATTGCATTGAAACATTTTTTAATTGCTATCTATTTGTGTCCTTTGTTCAAACCATTCTCGAAATATGAACTTTTAAGGTTGACATGCTGTCAGCATAAGCATTACTCGACGTAAATTGTGAAATACCGGCTAAGT